CCACAGAGACTGGCCAGGGGGAGGAGCGGGGAAGGGGATGCAAAGCGCCGCCGGGGCCACTTTAAAAAACTCCCCGCGCCGAGGCTGACTTACATCCAAATTCAACTTAGCATACCAGTTCCGACTTACATACAAATTCAACTTAATAACAAACCTACAGTCCTAATTTTGTACGTAACCCGGGGACTTCCTGTATGGTAATTCCTCAAGCTGACCATGTGTTTTTCATAATCTTCCTCTTGATAAGAAGAAGTGGTACTGTTGTCACTTTGGCTAAAACCAGCATTATGCTGAAGTATAAACTTACACGTTTACATGTATGTGACCGTTAACAGAATATGTGTATTAGCAGAGGCATTCACAGCCTCAAGTGCAGCTCTTGCCAAATGTATTACTGCTATGTGTTTTAAAGGAGTGATGATCAATGTGGGCACACACATCTTGTGTTCCACCTGTTCTTTCTCAGAACATCACCCCTTCTGCAGATATTGACTCTCCTTTGCCTCCAGATAGGTGGGTGGTATCCTTGTAAATCACACAATGAAGACCGCCTGATACGGAGGGGATAGAGAAGAAAAGAATCTGTCCGACCATTAATTTTCTTTCCAGAATTTTACATGTCAGCTCATCTGACCCTCTTTGAGAGACTTGAGTTATGAACCAAGTCTGGCTTTTCCAAGCTTGTTAAATAATTTGAAAGGGGTGTAAGTTCCTTTAGGAGTCTACCTAATGTTCTCAATCCTAAAATTTGTTGTGGAGGCTCTGCAGGAAATGATTTGGGTTGAATAATATTGCTTAACTTGTGCATAGATTTATTTATTTAAGCTGTAGAATCTGTTGTTCTGTATAGTTTGTTCTGACAGATGACAGAACAAGGAGCAATGATCTCAAGTTACAGTGGGGGAGGTCTAGGTTGGATATTAGAAAATACTATTTCACTAGGAGGGTGGTGAAGCACTGGAATGGGTTTCCTAGGGAGGGGTGGAATCTCTATCCCTAGAGGTTTTTAAGTCCTAGCTTGACAAAGCCCTGGCTGGAATGATTTAGTTGGGATTGGTCCTGCTTTTAGCAGGAGGTTGGACTTGATGCCCTTCTGAGGTCTCTTCCAATCCTATGATTCTAAAGGAGCAGTCCCAAATACAATCTGAGCCAAAGGACTGGTCTGACTTCAGTGACTAAGGAGATGAGGAAGATCCAACCACTGTTAAGACTGTCAAAGGAAATGCACTAATGACGAATTTTTCCATTTTAAAATGCATGGAGAGAGTTCAGAAATGGAGAGTTGGAGTACAGTACTGGCTATAGTCCCTTTCTCTCCACCATGATGTCCTAACTTAATCCCCAGTATATTTTTAATCATATATAAAGGTAACATTTGAAATGATAAGCTTTCTTTGTTACAGTTTTTTCATATTAAAATAGAGATCAGAGCAAAGGCATTGAAGGGGAGGAATGGGGCAGAGTACATTGGGGTCATTGCTGGATAGTGATCTCTCACATCTCCAGTATTCTTCATCTTTCTTTTTAGTGTCAATGTGGAAAAACAAGGACATTTTATTAGAGGTGTTTTCTAGCAATTAACTCTGAGAAAATTATTTTGTGCTTTGGTGTTTGATATTTTCTCTGGGACTTGGATTTCTTGATTGCTTTCTATACTGAGATATGTGCCAAAAATTAATGACAAAATAAATTGAACACAGTTTTCATTGAATTTTTGTATTGAACTTTTCTATATAAAGATATGTATAATAACTTTAATATAATAATATGCAAACAAGATGGTTGCTCTGATCAGAAGGTAAAAGGAAAGGTTTACAAGTAGGATTTGAAGGAAGTCTAAATTAATCTCACAGCCAGTGCCTCCATCTCTTGCTGATTGTTCATTCTTGCCTCTGCATGTAGATTAAATTTACTCAATTAAATGTATTGTTTAAATAAACTGGCAGATTAAGGCTGCTGAAGGTGTAATGTTTAGTATTGCATGAGTTTAAATAGCTTTTCTCCTTGAATTTGTAGTACTACTCATATGTAAAAGACACTGTAATCATTAGAATAGTAAGGAAAATCACTGATCTGTTTAAATCAGACACTGGGTAGATTAAATGCATCAATAATCTGATGTACATTAATATTTTAATAGCAGCACCTGCAGAACAATATCTTCAGGAGAAACTTCCAGATGAAGTGGTTCTAAAGATCTTTTCCTACTTGCTGGAGCAAGATCTTTGTAGAGCAGCTTGTGTGTGTAAACGCTTCAGTGAGCTGGCTAATGATCCAATTTTGTGGTAAGTGAAAAGCTTTTCCTCATTATCTTGAGATATATTGTATGTGCTGCACAAAATGCCAAATACAGCAGAAAAATTAAAATGCTAGTTAGGAGTTATAATTAGCTTAAATTAAAACAAACATTGGTGGTTTTAATATGGTTAGCTTACATAAGCATTATCTGTTATATGCAGATGTGCGTATACATATCAATTATTTTCAGTTAAAAACAGCAATTTTTTCCCTAGACTTATACCTGTTTAATGATATCAGAAGGTTCAAATACTTATCCTTTTAGTACCTTCCCCCTTTCCACTTAAAGTTTATGTGGGAATTGTATGCCTAAATCCAAAATAACAATTCCTTTAAGTAATCTTCCTTTAAGTGTCAGGGAAGATCCTGTCTACAACTACACTAGGATTTTAATTTTTTTTTATTTTTAAAAAGAATTCATAGGTAATGAGAATGTGAATTTATTCTCTTTAGAGTTATTAAGATCCTGAGAAAATCTCTAACAGAGAGCCAATATGCTTGATTAGAAAAAAATTGAACTTGAATATCATTCTGTTCAAATAGTGTTAGGGTTACCTCTAATAGCAGCAGATATATTTTCAAATGGAAATGTGTCATTATGCCTATAAAACAGAACTTCCTTTTATACTATCAACAGGATGTGACAATGTGACAGTTTCCACATTCTAGGACTAGTTACAGCTTCATCCAGTTGTTGTGCACAAGTTTTTACAACTGTTTCATTTAAATATATTGATTGCTACAATTTATAATTTTTCAAATGTTCCCTGGTGGATGCTCCCCTTTTGGTGTGTGTGTCTATGCTTGTAATCAGAGACTTGTGGTACCAGTATCCAGCTGAGTTGCACATCCACAATACCCATCTCACACCACTTCAGGCAGTTATCTGGTGCAGTATGAATAACCCTCTCCCCTCCTCAATTCCTTCTTTCCTGCTTTTGGCTTAAGTCAGAGCAGTGCATCAGAGCTTAGTCTTCCTTCTTCTTTAGCCCTAGTGTTGTAGATAATTTACTTTTCCCCCCATTTTTCTCTCCCCATTTATTTCTTCAAAAATTTTGTTTCTTCTCCCTTCATTAGAAGCTCAGGTTTCTATTAAACATTAGTATAGGACTCCTCGGTTCTGAAGATCTGAAATGACTTGCTCCAAAGAGGTGCAGAACCTTTTACTGAATAGTTGCAGAGCAATTATCTATCACACGTATCTATGCAAATGGAAATGCTGTGATTCATGATGACAAAAGAGGTAGATCATATCTCTTCATACTTACCTGTGATTCTGCACTACTTACTTCAACTCAAAGAATCAAGATTTTCAATTAGTTCTGTCAAGGTTCATCTTTCTACCACAAGATTGATGGCATATCTGTTTTTACACATCCAACCACCAAGCACTTCCTCAATATCTTCTCCAAAGTATGCATTCCTACACCTCTGTGGAAGCTCAATTTAGTTCTCTGGGGCATCACCAGATATCCTTTTGAGCCACTGCCAACCTCTTCCATCCTTCACCTTTTAGTGAAGATGGCCTTCCTTGTCACCATTACTTCTGCAACTTGAGGCCCTTATGGCTGATCTGGAGGTAGGGCTGCAAAATCCTGTCTAAAAAATTAACTGTTTAAGCATTATGTTTAACAGGTTAACTAGGATACCACAGTAGGGCACTGCTCCAGCTTGCCTGGGCCCTGTGTGCTTTGGACTGCTCCACCCAGGCTGGGCTGAGTCCACCTCAAGATGGGCAGGGCCTGCTCAGGCTGAGACTGCTGCTCCATGGATGTGCGGGGCTGCTCGGGCAGGGCTGGGCATCGGTTAATTGCTTACCTCAGTAAGCATGCTGGTAAGCCAAATGCTTACTGGCTAAATGGTTAGCCCTTTACCCCTTAGATTGAGGTAATTTCTTAGGACTCCAAAACTGATCACTGATAAATCAAAAGAAGATGCCAAAAAGACAGCAGCTCTTCAACTACATTTCCAATTGCAGCAAACTCTGTTATAGTCAACATAACCTAAAATCCTCCTACTGGGATTTGCATGCACTTGGTCAGAGAAATATCAACCTCAGTAGCTTTTCTAAACACTGTTCCCATTACTCACATCTGTAGAGCCTGGGCATTGGCTCATACATTTATGCAACATTATGCGTTCTGGATGGTGACCCTTCTGAGGACCTTAAAAAATACATTCTTAGTGTAAAAGAAAAAGTTGAAGACTCTGGCACACTACAGGCAGTCCCCGAGTTACGCGGATCCGACTTATGTCGGATCCGCAGATATGAACACGGATTTTCTCGCCCCAGAGGACTGGAGCAGCGGGACACCTGGTCCCGCCGCCCGCCTCCTCCG